TACTATGCCACGAAACATTAGTCTTTGTACTTCAAAACTGCTGTCAAAACACAATAGAAATTTTGGGAGCCATCCAAGTACCCGCGACTTAGCCGAATCGCGACTTACCGAGGCGCGACTTAGCGAGGGGCCACTGTAATTCAGAATTACAGCACATAAGAAATTTTACTAAAATATTGCAAACGACAAACGCTCCAATTCCAGTTCATACAGTACAAATATTTACCATTATACAATCACATACGGCACCTCAGAATACATACACATCAAAAATCAGATCCCGATTTCAAAACTCACTACGTTATGGCAAATGCGACGCTAAATATGTCACATAGTTCTAAAAAAAATTTTTTTACATGGGAGTTTGAATAATAGACTTATTACAAGTATATGATGTCCAACAATATAAACAACATATCGTGTTCTAAAATAGAATATTGTGACTGCTACTTCAAAGTGTATGAACTGGTTCGGAATAAATGGAAAAAATGACGTCAACTAAATTCAAGATTAAGCCTCATTAGGCATCGAATGAAGTAACAATACAAATATTCACTGATGCTTACCTCTATTCCAGGTTCAGATTATAATGACTTCAGAAAACTCGCATTGAATATTCACAACAAAACCAATGTATACATTCACTTTGAAGGTATCTCCACTAGAGAATGGTATCACAGTAATATAGAACATTTTATCGTTTTTCTCAGTTCTCAACTTGTTGTTACACATTATGAAACATTAAAATTGTACACAGAGAAACTCAAAGTGTTTTACTGGTATTCCTCATCAAAAAAAAGGCGTTTATCAAGGTACACGTAGATTGATAGCATCTCCATGTAGCCACTTTCTGCCATGCTGTGTGCCTTTAAGCCAAGAATAAATGTATACTTCCGCTTTTATCAACAATTACAGTTATTTCAGTTATGTCATCTAATTACAGCTTGCACAACTGGAAGAAGAGAAGTTTGGTAAGAAGGATCAGAAGAAAAAAGAGCAGGATGAATTAAATGCATTATTTAAACCAGTTGAACAGAAAGTATCTAAAGGTATGTCTTGAGGAAGTAGTTCGCTTTGACTTCGATGACTGTAATCATTAAACAGATTTAGGTTTTTTCAGTGTTACTTCTATTTTTGCAAAAGTTTCTCAGTGACAAATATTTTCAGTAAAGGGGCCCAAGTTTTTCAGTAAAGGTGCCAAGTTTTTCAGTGAGGAGCCAACATTTCTCAACACATAGTATATTTTATAGGGAGAACGCTGGTTCTAATTTATTTCCTTCCTCTATCAGATTAAGTAATTTAGTGATGATCAATTGAATTTTCACGTTTTAGTGAATATTCTTTTTTTTTTTGAAAATGACTGATTTCTCATTATCTATATCTCTAACAAATATGTAAGCAGACAGGTTGCAAGTTTGTAGGATATTCCAATAATGAGTGATAAATTGTGAATTGTTTAATGTTTTGTATTTTATTCCAGGAGTTGATCCCAAGTCAGTCGTATGTGCTTTTTTCAAACAAGGGCAATGTAAAAAAGGTGAAAAATGTAAATTTTCTCATGATCTTACCATCGAGAGAAAATCTGAAAAAAGGAGTCTTTATGTGGATGCCAGGGATGATGACAAAGCGAAAGGTAAGGATGCGAAAGTATTGTGGGTGTATTCCCGTGCTTATTATTAATGTGTTACACACATTTGGTAATGTTCAATTTCAATGAAGTAGGGGTATCTCAATGCCATATTAGCATTTCGACATTGGGCTACAAAAACAAAAAGAAATTCACATTCAAAATTAAATTGATTTTTGTGATAGACATTCAGTCTGTGCCTCTCACACAATCAGTGTGATCTTGCACTGAACAGAAAATCACCTATTTCTTTAACCTGTAAAATGACCCAGGAGTTTTTCTAAACCAGGGAACAGGGGTGCAGCGCCCTGATACTCTTGGCTGGCGCCCTCTTACTGAATTGACGATTGAACTTTCAAGTCATAAATATATTTCTTGAGCCACGCACTTCTGTGCTACCGTACAACATGAAATCTTTCTCAAATATACTTTTCTCCGTGAAAACTTCCCAGCAACACCAGCTGACAATGTGTCTGGACACCAAATACCGGTCAGTGTTCTCCCCAGGCATGTTCAAGCACGGTGAATTTACCGTGCTTGATCTTTCACGAAAACAATAGAAGTTATTCATATGCTAATTAAGGTTATTGTTGCAAGATGATGTGCATATTATTATGTAAATTTGATTATATTGTTATGCAAATTAGCCGCCATGCTTGCCCATTATCCTGGGGAGAACCCTGCCGGTACACTAAAATTACTCCAAAAATATTTCAATGGCGATAGATACACCGTTAAAACGGCGCAGAAACCTTCCGATGTGGCGTTTCCAGGTCGATCACCTGTGTGTGCTCCCTCTTGTTTATTTTTTCTAGAAAAACCCCTGATGACCTGTATTGGCACTTGAAACATGAGTGTTTTACTCTCGTCTGTCTAAACACTGAAACTTTCAATTTAATTCCTCAACACCAAATATCTATTTACAAATTAACTCCTTGAATAGAGAAATTAATTACTGCTCAAACTGACTTTATTTTTTCGTGCGTCAACCTTTTCACTTTGGCACGTAGATGTTTTGACTTGACAAGTTGTTTGACAGCTAGCAAAAAGATTGTGCGATGCGCACCGTTGGCGGCGCCTTTTTAATGACGTTTTGGACACTTAGTCAATTTGAGTAGTATCCTACAGTAGAATACTTTATTTTCACTTGGAATTTATTTTCGCTATTTTCGCTGAATGGATGATTCCGTGAAAATAAAATCCAGCGAATATACTTTTTTTTCCTATATTTCACATTAAATTCATCAAAAATCAGTGAAAATAAGTTCCATACAAAACACCCAAAAAGCCTTTTCAGCGAAAATTAATTCCAGCGAAAATAAAGTATTCCACAGTATTTGTATTCACAGTTTGAATTATAGTCATTTTCATCAACCGTGCGAGTGCCTGTGTCAATTTTTATGACAACTGAAATTTTGTTTATACTTTTTTGTTTTCAACAAATTTTTATCATGACTTGTAACTTATGAAAAATTTTGTGTATTCTGCTCAAAATTATGAAAAAAATCACAGAAGAATACATACAAATAATGACATTTAAATCATTAAGCTTTGTTGGTCACTATATATAAGTTTGACTGTGCAACCAGTGACAAAGGATAAACCAATTTGTGTATTTTGAAATTGCAGACACTATGGACAGCTGGGACCAGGAAAAACTACAGCAGGTTATCGACAAAAAACATGCTGAACAGGAGTCGAAGAAACCGAAAACTGAAATAGTAAGTGTGTCGTACATTACATGATGCTGGATGAAAGTAAACTTGTCGCTTATTCCTTCATTTATCTGAATCTAATGTCTTTATGCATACCTAATTACATCGTGATGTGAAACGATGAATGTCTGAGAGATATAACCCTCTGCTTGTCTTCTATTCATAGGTGTGCAAGTTTTTCCTGCAAGCAATCGAAGACTGTAAATACGGTTGGTTTTGGTCGTGTCCAAATGGTACTAAGTGTATGTATAGACATGCTCTTCCTCCGGGATTTGTACTAAAGAGTTCTAAAAAGAAAGAAGAAGATGATAATCAAGATCAAATTACCCTGGAGGAACTGATAGAAGAAGAGGTGTGTTTGAATATTATTTATTTACTCATATTTCATACTAGACATTCTATGAACCAGGTTTCTACTTTTAGGTAAAATAATTTATGCTATGATGTATAATTTCATTGGTTTTATTAGCCAAATACTAGTACCTCCTGGCAAAAACAGTAAAAAGATTGAAAATCACAATTTTTTCTGATTCATGTAGAAAGAATTTATAGCTACAAGTGGCAATAACTGTAATTTTGAAATTTGTTTGTTCAAATATAAAGATGACCAAATCTTACTGAAATATCATTTTAGACGCAATTTCTTGAACAATGTGACCCTACACAAAGCTAATGTTGTGTATGATGTGAAAACTAAGGATTGAGTAGACGCCATCTTGTTGGTATCAGTCACGCGATTGGAACCATAGAAAATTGTGATGCATGACGCACACTTTTATGAGGAAAAAACGCATAAAATCATCAGAGAGCTTTAGCTTCTCTGGGTGGTGACATACTTGGCATTTCGCCAGGGTCCTGGATGAAGTTGTCAATAGATGGCGCAACCCCGCGGCCATTTTTTTCCACTTGCAAGTGGAGAATATATCTAATATTACATGCTTTCAGTGACCATATTACAGTGATGGTTGTTACAAATTGACACAAATGACACAGGAAATATTTTTTTTTAATAATAAAAATTGGAGAAAAAAATCTATAATTACAGCTACTTTAAATAACCGACAATATCTTTTTCTGATGTTTAATTTATATTTTTTAATGATGCTAAATTTTATTCAGCCATTGATGGGATGTCACAAAATCTGTCACCAAGCAATTTTGAAAAAACAACCACTTATCAACTTTTTTTTTTCTGAAAGATCAAAATTCTTTGGATGCTTTGAATTGAGGTCAAGTCAAATTACATTTATGATCACATGACCGTGGTGCATATTATTCACAGTAGTGACAAAAAGTATCGTCGAAAAACAAGACCATGCTGGATCCTAAAAACAAATACTGTACCGGTAATATTTATTTCCATCATCAGATGTAAAGGTGGTTAAGTTTTGAGTGTCACTGGTAGCATAGTGGTTGTTGCACCAGACTCATGATCGGTAGACCCAAGTTCAAATCCTACCATAGACTGAACATCAAAAGGGTCGACCCCTACCCTGGGTGAGTGTACCGCAGACTCAATGGGAAGGCCAATTCCACTGGCCGAGATTCATTCACTAACGAATGCGACTTTGGGGGAACCTTGGTTAAGGTCCGCAGGTGCTTGTGTTCGACCGGGCCTGGTTGACGCCAGGATAGCACATTGCAAATTGCCATTTGACAGAGAGATGGCCACACAGCCCTGTCATGTAGTCCCAAACATGAATATGACTTCGGTGGCAAAATGCACTAGGTGTCGTCACTAGCACTTGCAATTTGCACATACAAAAAAAAGTCAGGAGAGACAACAGTGACACTGAATGTCCGGAACTGTCGCCTGGCACAAAAAATATTTAAAAAAAAAATTAAAAAAAAAGTGTTATGAGTGTCCTACACACGCATACAGATGTAAATACAGTCCATCTCTCACTGGTTAGTGTGTGTAACTAATCCATTGTGATTTTATCTCCTCAGCGTGCCAAGATTGGAGCCAACCATGCAAAAATTACTTTAGAATCATTCTTAGAATGGAAGCGTTCAAAACTAGAACAGAAGAAAGAAAAATTCAATACACAGATGAAGAAAAAGAAGGAAGATTTTAAACAAGGCAAAAGTTTAGGCGTAAGTGTTTACAGCAATGGATATTGTGTTCACTATGTAGTGCCTATTGTGACATGTACTAAAGTTACTTTTGTCACTATTCACAATATTCAAACCCACACAATTTTTTAATTTTTATAAAATTTATAAGATTTTAATAGCCAATAGGGAATTATGTCCGTCTGGACCAACATTTTCAAATAAACAATGTGTTTCTGCATTTATTGTATGTCAGATTATTGAAATATGTCTTACTTTGACCATAGACTCAGTTGACTCAGTGTGCTTGCTTTATAATAAAGCAAATACAGACAGTGAACCCTTGATTTCAATTGGTCAACCCTTTATCTGTTTCAAGATTAGATATGCATATTTGAAAGTCACCGAGTTCGCTGTGCTTAGTCACAAAAGATAGGTCTATGATTATAATTTATTCCGAAATTCTGTTACTCTTTTTACCCCCCAAAGAGGCTGTACAGAATTGTTCATAAAGGTGGCTGTTCGTCCTAGTAATCTGTATTGAAATATTCCAAAAAAGACAGTCAAAGTAACACATAGCAACCACATCGGGATAGTAACAACAATTTTATTAACCGGTTATATTATTGATTTGCAGATAAGTGGAAGAGAGGTTTTTGAATTTAAACCAGAATTAGTTGATGCTGATGATGAGGGTGCTGATGATATCAGGTACATTAGAGAAGAAGATGATGAAGAAGAAAAAGATGTAAGTTACCATAGAAATCATTCAGTAGAATCTTGAGGGTGCTATTTTTTGGACACAGAATTGTCAGTCAGTCAGTCCGTCCAGCCAGAGACATGTCTCTGCTGATTACATTCATAGTGCACTTGCACATCACTCCATTCATTTCATGATCTGATTCCAGATGTTAGAATGGCAGCCATTTTCAGTATTCTCCCCAGGAATTTAAACCACTGTGTCGGACTAATTTGCATATGATTTGCATATCATTTACATAATATTAGAGATTGACCAAAGCACATTTACACCCACACACAAACATATATTTTCAAAAACAATGTGGCACATATTTATTTGCTTCATACAGTGTTATAAACACTATTCTTTTGGGATATTAATGAGCTCAGTCACAGTGCAAATATTTTTCTATTGGAGTCAAAATATTACGTTTCACAATTTAGAAGAGTTTGAATTTAAAAATGAAAAATTGTCGAATCGAAATGCAAATGCTGCGGACTATTAAAAACAAACAAACAAATAAATTGTAAAAGGCTAAATGAAATGCATTTGAAACGTTTCAGCCAGGAATATGTTCTCGAATTCCATGATCTTATTTACTACAAAAACATTCTCCTTCAAAAAATTGTTCATTATTCGTACCATCAGCTTCTACAACGTTTACATTTACAGTAATGAACTTCCAAACGATCATCAAAGTTACGACGTGACTTAACTTACTTTGCGATGTTATACACCGGTTATACCAATAATTCCTCTTACACAGTCATGCCATGCAAAAAAAAAATTTTTATATTTTTTTTATATGAAATAAACAAAAAATTTGAGCGATTATTTTTTTCACTCGATCGCTTCGGTGAAAAACACCGACCGCCATGATAATTGTGACGTATTAGTTGACCGGCATGTGTCCTTTGACCCGATGGGTCAAAAGCGCCATTAACCAATCAGAATACCGCATGGTAATGCTGGCAGAACCCGAAGTTTTCCGAATGGTAGTGATCATAAAAATTACATTGCGGAAGTAAAGCGATGTCCTAGCACGATGTGTTGGTATGGATTTCAGATGAAAACTGCATGATGGTTTTCGAAATAGGTGATAAGCAATTTTTAAAAGGTAAAAGAAGTCTTGAAAGAAGAGTTTTTACATGATTTGCGATGATAAAAGTTCAAATGTATTTTACCCAATCATGCAATAAACACGTTATTTTTTTCTTGTAGCGTAAACTGATCGTGAACTCCGCTTTGCCCATGTTATATCGGGGTGGAATTGATTTGCAAATGTAGCTTTCA